ATTAATTTAATTATACACGTTGGAATTATAGTCACCATTTAATATCCGTGCGTTCAATGTTCAATCTGCATGCAATATATGAGCAGGGAAATTTTGGAGCTAGCGAATAAGGACAACGGTGACATTAATATTGCTTGTTTAGCTTCTAAGTCGAACTTTTGCAATCGGAAGATCATAGCGCAATAGCATAGTTCCTGCTAAGCAAAGGTTCGTGGCAATTCTTGAACAGATATCAAGGTCGTAAAACCCTTTACTGTAGCTATATCTAAGATTTCCGTTATATTATTACAACGGCCTTAATACAGTGTCACCACCACATACAATTCTTCGAATGTAAACCAATCCGTGGCCAATTTGTAACACAATCGTAGCTATCAAAAGCAAAACATATACCTACTCGTAGTTCAATAGAACTAACTTAGAAATGCATTTGATAAGTATAAATTACCGCGGAAAGATTTGGTAGTGAGCCAATTAGTTACTCAAACTATTCCCAACCTCGCAGCCAAATGTAAAGAAGGAATATGAAACGTATAATGCATCCTTGTCAGAGGAGACAGATTTGCTACGATTAAATCTTCTTCTTCCGTTTTCACTGAATCGCATTCGGATTTAATAGCTGTCAAAACGTGGAAAAGAAACGGGAAAAGTGGGCTTAGGTATAATTAGTCTTGCTGTATAGTGTTAAGTGAAGTGTACAGGTTTCCATGGTTAATAACGTTTTGATTGACGTTATTAAGTATATCATCTGAGTGAAGAGTTTATGCCATCGTGGTTCGATTCGTGTATGTCTTCATACGATACAGTATTTCATAATTACTGCTACCTTATTAGGAAATGCACACACCGACGCAATATACATTGAATTTGTAAACGAAGTGCATAGCAAATACATTCCATTAGATTGTTTTAACTTTCCACGTGCATTGTGCATTGTGCATTATGATTATACTGGTTTGTCCAATATATCGAGGCACCTCAGTGTAATGAAACAGTGTACACGTCATACTGTGCAATAACAATACTGGCAATCCGATTGGTTCATGCAAGCAGATTGAACTTTTGACTTCATAACACAAAATACGCCAACATCGTATTTCCTGAAATATTATTAATAATAATGTTGTTCAATGTTCCACAGCAGCTCGCGCCGAGCCAATAGAAATGCATAGAACGTTCTGCTATGTAGCTCGTCTTCGGGACTAGGATAATCTAACGATAATCGGTGTTCGTGAACGACGATCTTTTATGCAAATGAGCAAGAACGCTATACGATGTTTTGAATAATGGCCCACAAATCAAGATAACTGCGCCAGTTTCATTTCGCTTTTAGGAATGGCGAAATGGATACATTGGATAAACAGGATATCAAAATCGCGATCCTACGAAGAATCGGATCAATTGAAAATTTCAACCTCATTTATTGTAGGTTCAGTCATGTGTTATCTTTCATATACGTTCTTAGAGAATATATATATATAATCACTTTGAGTGTCATGGGGTGTGTCCGTATATGATAAACTACGTACATACAAAAGAAAAGTGTGATGTGACTGCGTTTGAACTTGCCGTGTTACTGTTACTAAACTGCATTGTTACTATAGAAAACTTAAAATGAAGCCAAAACGAATTAGTATACATGCTCGTTTGATCACAGATGAACGAATTAATTTCCCTTTAAAATAACATTTATAAACTAAACATCACATTTCATCTGATAATAGAATCACACACACTTCTCGCACGACGTAATTTCACACGCATCACAAATAGGTTATTGAACGATTTTGGACAATAGTTTAAATTGAAGGGCGTTGGCCGTATTTGTGGACTTTTTATTGTCGCGTTGTAAACGTCGCTTTGACTCGACTTATTATTCGAGCATGAAGCGTTGTACGCGTCGCGCGGACGCGATATCGAAACGTTGTTGCGTCCGAACACGCTTTTGTTAATTTACTGCAATTAACAATTTATTCGTTTAGCTGTTGCACCGATAATAACATTGTTTAAAATGGCATGCCTATTCTCTAATTTAAACTCATCTAAAATCAAGTGTTTGCTAGAGTACGACTTGCCTGAACATTTAAAAGTGTGTTTTGGCAGACTGGACGGGCTAATTTGTAACTATGTTACACTGGTAATCTCAGAAGGAATCAATGTTACTTGCCTAAGACGTTTAAAGGGCGGCAGTCGTCGTGCCGCGTTCTGTTCGATATGGGACTCATAGCAACGTATACAACGCATGTAAAATACATTGTTTATTTACATGAAATTGGAACACGCGCTGCGTGACGACCACCGCGCTTTAATATACATGCAAGGTGTTCAACAGAGAAATCAAATTGCTGCTCAAGGCTTTTCAATTACCTTTACTGCTTGTAGACTTGCTATGTGATTATATTTTATTTATTTGTAATTTTCATTGTTCTCAATTGTATGTAACGACGGATTACAGACATTAAAGCTGTATTTTGTTAAACTTAACATATGTATTAAAATGAGATATGTGGTAGAACATGTAGTTATTTTCATCTGGAATACCGAAAATCTTGACATGCAACGCAGTTTCGAATTACGGTTTGGAACATACTCAACACAACTGGCCTAGGGAGTGAAAAATGTTTCAATTTCCATGTTCTCTTCGACACAGTGGCAACGGATCTAAATAAATATCATACAACACGATATCCAATCGAAATCTGACCACGTAGTCCACTCATGACACATAACACAAAAAAAAATAAACAAAAAACGCACAGATTACATAAACTAATCAGTCACTTTATTTAATATGTTGTCAGTAGTAACCAATTCCCTGATTTAGCAAAATCTGCAAATATCAGATATGTCAAACTTTAATTTCAGTTCAGTAATTTGAATTTGTCATATATATGTATATCGCGATGATTTCTGATTGCACGTGTTGATAGACTAGAACATTTCTTGATGACATCATCTTACCCAAGTGTTCTTATATGTGTGTTATGATCACGTCATTCTTATGCAAATGAGTATTTGTTTAAGATAATAAGTAGTTTTGCGAACAACCACAGTTTAATCGATAGCTCAAAGAAACATAAATATGTTCTCAACTGAGCTGTAATAATGTCAAACTCGTAATATTTATTGAAAATTGATTATGTACTAATCTACTGTAATCAGGTGCACCAAATATCAGTTGCAATATGGACAAGTTTGAACCCCTTGTTTATGCTTTTGTTAAGCATTCGTGGATATATTTATTGATCTACATATTGGGATCTAGGTTATTGATGTGTTTTTTTGCAGTGAATCTTCTTTTTTGCGCTTGACAAATGTATAGATACGATAAAAATAGAGTTTGTTGTCTGAATAACCCATACTAACTGCACAATTAATGTCAATCACATTATGGACTGCATTGCTGTAGTTATATTCAACACAACACAATGTCAGAAACATTCTGACTGACTTCAAAAGCAGCACATTAAACATCCACGTGTTATTGACATGTCAGTACAACATATTCTTAATGATAGTTGTTACTTCATGGAATTTCTATCATATCATAATTCATTGATACATGTATGTTTCCTACATGTTCACTAATGATTGAATCTATTGAACGGCGGCGAAATGTACTACTGTAAACTTATTACCAAACAGTGATAATTCCAAGCTTAGTATGAGAAAATACTATCAGTGGATTTTATATAGAATACGCGAAGTTGTATAACTCACAGAACGTTATTACTTTAAATCAGTTAGCTTGTAACGCAAATCGTATTAGTCGGAAAACTTAATACGTGCTTTAACGTACTCTGTAAACTGCTGAACGACTAATAAAAGACGTAAAAGACAGTTTTCGTACGTGATGTATAATCTCCCCTTATTGTATTTAGGTCACCGGTGCACTCGGTTCACCCTTTTCCAATTAATTTGTGTCATGTAACACATTTTAAACTGTCTTCGTTTTGGCAAATTTAGAACAACATGCAATAATGTACGTTTATCTCGAGTCCGTGTATATTTCAGGGCATGTGAATATAGCGTGAGCTTCGACCAGACTCTTATTCATTTTCACATTCTTTGAATAACTGCCTGCTTTCATCATATCCACATGTAAAATTTGACATGGTAATCTTTTCATAATCTATTACCTATTTGTACGGGAGAAACTAGACATTCAGAGTGCCCTTCTATTATTCTATACTCGCGCAACGGAATCTAGTCTAGAAAGAAGCCCTCGTTTTATAAATAAAAAAATCTCACACTGAGTCGTGGTGTGTCATTCGGTCTAAACGGCGATCCCTACATTTGCGCTCCTATTGAGAACCGTTAACAAACTGTTATTTTGTCAGTTTTTTGCAAGTTTTTCAATCTCTTGCTTGCATTCTTATAATGCAATAAATATATTTTTTCGGCTCTTAACCAATGCTTACTATGTATCCATGTTGAAAAAGAACGCATGCATTTTCCCCACATTGTCGGAAATGCACGGCCACAATTGTTAATAAACATTTCAAAAGTCACAATAGTCAAGGGCGGAAATACACATATTTGTTACAGGATAAACTGTGCCATTCAATGTTAAAACTATGTACAACACCGGGTAAATCTGCGCAAATGTGATTGGTAGTGAGATGGTCTTTTTCGTATCAATTTAAATAATATGCAGATACATTTATGTAACACTACTCGACAAATAGGGCAGCTGTAAAAAAAAGCAACAAACATTAATTCCAAATTACACTTTTTTTCCAAAATCACTCGTTTATATTTTTTGACTTCGTGTAGGTGAATTGTCTGTTGAGATTTGTGAGATTTTGTTGTCATAGTTACGTGCACAGTGTAGAATGTGCCGTGAATAATGATGGTTTATTATTCATGACTAAATAAATAAATAGATGACGACATGCCATCGAAACCTTCAAAATTATCATTCACGTTCAAAAGCATTGCAGTAAAGCTGAATTGTGATCTAATTAATTATATTTTATCTAATCTGTTCGAATCCACAGTGTAATGGAGGTAGAGGAACTGACGTCATGTACCGAGAACTATACAATACAACGACTACTAAAATCATGGTTTTAGGTGCAGGCTGCTCTATAGTGACTGAACCGACGGCACAGGCGTCACATTTGTGGAATTTACTTCAGGTAATGCAACGAAAAAAGTATTTTACACACACACACATTGATTGTTTATGTTGATTCAATAACTGCATGTGACATTTTACAACTGCTTGGTAACGGCACGTTGACTATACCCACGCCAAAAAATCCAGCAAAACGTGTGTACGTAGGGGCACCGGTAAATGTAGTTTTCCAACGGGTCTAAAAATCAAAGAAAGGTCGTTGTACCCTATAGCGTGTTGCATTTCGGGTAACCGAGCCACATTTCACCCGATTATTACAATAATATTACAAAGTATGCAAAACGATAGCACAGCGGGAGTATAGACCGACATATCAGGCACCTAGTCCAGTATATAAAGCCCAGAACTGAGGTTGACAACAATAATAGCAAATGACGTAACTCACTGTGTAGCCATGGATTATCAATTTACTATTTAAATAAGCTTCGACCCAAACACAACGAGTGTATAGAACTATTCAAAATACTTTCAGTTACATAAAAGAATGATAATGTATGGTGTATTTTAAAACTTACAAATTCAATAATCCTAGAAAATGGACACGTAATTGCGTAAACCACAAATAATGAACGATCGATTGAGGGGGTAATCGAAAGCATTATTGCAGCTACGTGTTGATCAATAAGTCTACTTAATGCTAATTTTCCGCAACTATCCAGTAAGGGTGTACTACTATAATTCGATTTGCTAATACTGTTCGGCAATTGAAATGTATAGGTTAATCAAAACATGAAATAGCAGCGATGTTGTTCGTTGAAATGGTCTGAATTTATTTGTCATGATACGTGTCTGTCGAGTGAGTCGCCGTTTTTTGTACTATCGATGGAGCTGAATTGTACGATACGACGACGGGTAATTGAGTGGTAACAACCGGAGACGTGAGTTTTATACACCTCCGTTCGACGGAGACAGGATGTTCATAATGGTGGTTATAGAGCAATTGAAATTACCCTGGCCGCGGTTGCGTCAATAGGTTGCTTTATTGAATAATCGTGAATTGTTTCCTACTCGGAGATTTTATCTTGTAGAAATATTATGTAGCCATGGTTCTGAAAATAACGAGCAGTTACAATAGTTGATTTTTAGCCAAAATATAAATGTGAATTCGAGTAGGGTTGAAATAGAATTATAACCACCATAGTGTTCTTCTACAGTATCTTTGTTGTCATCCTTCAGACACCGTGCAGTATGAAAGAAAAAACGCATTTAACTCTTGGGCGCACTGTCTCCTACGCTAACAACCTTTAAGGGGAAAGCCATGAAATATATTCTTCCCGCTGGAATTGTCAAAGTATACCTTGTGCAATACACAACAGCGTGATGCAGACATGTTCGTGTCGTATTACAGCTGAAATAAACTGTGATAACCGACACTACACAGTGAAAACACTTCGTGCATGCAGATATTCAACTTTCGACGTTTAGTAAGATTTACCGATGTACATGTTCATTCATCTAACCACGTATCGATAGTATCATGCTGGCGGATTTGTCACAGAAAACCATTTCAAGTATGAATAATTTTCGTACATTGGGAAGTTCCTGATATTTTCTTGAATGAACATGTTGTGAATTCAATATGATCACAAATCTTAATTAGCGAACAAGCACAATTTAAATACAAGAATGTATTCTTCGAGCTTGGTGATTTGACACTAGTAGCGGAACTAGTTTCGAAGCCTCGGTTTACGCGCTTTGACCTGTTTTAAATTAAGAACATCAGTCAGAATGGGGATTAATACTGTACTAAATATCAAGAATTTATAATGCTACTATTGTCACTGACACGTACGTAGGCATTAAAGGGCGGTGTCGTCGTGCCGCGTCCTGTTCGATGTGGGACTCATAGCAACGTACACAACGCGTGTAAAGTATATTGTTTATTTACATGAAATTCGAACACGCGCTGCGCGACGACCACCGCGCTTTAACATACATTGCTGTTGTTCCCATTAGTCAGCATCGGATATGACCTTTCGTTGATCCACAGGAAATATCGTGTGTAATCAATGATGGCATATATCCCATAATCCTTTACGATATAGTGCTTCTCGTGTGGAATTGTGGGGGGTAATTGTAACGACATCACCATCTTGCGTAATTTCATGCGACAAAACCTTCAAGTGAGTACATGGCTGTGCGGTGAGCCATACCTAATCGAGCGTCTCCAATCAGAAACAGTTATTGTATGTAATAATTTGTTTTCATTAATTTATTTACCTTTCCTTGTGTTGTTTTTTTCGGGCTTGTTCTTTGTTGTTGTGGTTACCGGTCAATGACAGCATGCAATGTAACTAGTTAAATATAGTAAATTACAGCTAGGTAGTGCTTTAACATTTGGGAACGCGGAATAATTCATATAGCTGCGTTCACACTATTCGTATCTTGCTTCGAGCTATACAATGCGATCACACTGATCTGTGATTTAGCACGCGCAGTATTGTAACAGTAAGTGCTCAGATATATTTCATCATAAATATTTTATTCAACAATAAATATTAATCCTCTTATCGGCCTATAGCATCGTGGATAACTTCCAGGTGCTTTACTTATTCAGTGTGCTGTGGTATTATCGTTCCTGAACACAGTGGCATTTCTTATGACGAACTCCTAAGGTGATACTACATTTACCCATAATACATTGCATAAACACATCAATGGTGGAATTTATGGGCGCCCAGAAAGTGCATTCACATTGACGTAATTCATGGATACAATTAGTATGTGTGTAGTCATGCTATATAGAAATGTCTAGCTATTTAAAAAAATATCTCTCTGCCATTTAATGAGTTTTACCATCCACCAGTGTCATTATTACGCTACATAGGTGAATTGAATGGTCTCGCTCGATACAGAGTTTGTACACCTTTATACAGGTGTTCATATTGTACTATTACAATATGACCTCTATATATGTTATCGCTGCACTCGCGGTTGCACTCCATTAAGAACAGCACTACGGCCGGGTTCGCTACACCTTTTGCGCAGCTGCGATTAAATCAGCTGCCACTAGTCTGGTTCATCGCACGCATCTGTCTGCAACTTACATAGTCATTTAAAAAAAAGTAATTTTACAGATAAATCGACGTGTTTCCATTTTCTTTAAAACTACTCCATTATATTTAACTATACGCATAGTCCTTTTTCAAAATAATTGTTGACCGTGCTATAACGAATACTTGTACCGCATAAACCCGATGCCATGGAGTTTTTTCAACCCACTAGAAAACATTAACTAGAATCAATAAATTGTTATTCTATGCTTATTTGTTTTACTTTATTTTCATTTATCTTATTACAACAAACTCTGCAGGGAAAAATAATACCACGTCGATGTCAGACTTGATCGTGAGTTAGAAGCAGACCTCATAGGTTTGCGAAAATCGTTTACTTGCTGAACAAGTGAGTCACAGTCAGTCTCCTCGAAAACCGCACTCACTGATTTTTTGAAGTCGTAACAGCGCTGAATGTAACACAGAGACATGTTTTTATTTTTTTTATGTTTCTTGTAGATGACACGAAATACCACAGGGAATAAATTGAATATCATGGGATATTTTATACATTATTGTTTAGTGAATTTCAAATGTTTACTAGTATTTGTAAATTTGCTTGTGGGATAGTTTTATGTTTTGCATCTATCCATATATGATAGTGTGAAAATGGGGACATATTTTGTTGGAAGAGACAGTGACACCAATGTAGTGCATCTTCTGCCCATGACGGGACAAATGCATTCAAGTGTTTATGTCAGTATGCGTATTCCATGCAATCTTACCTTTGTGTTTATTTTTTACACTTAAAGTTAACAGACCAATGTGTTGTGTATGCCTAGGCCATATTAACACTTTCAGGTACGCCATGTTTAATGACATCACGAAAGTCTGTAATTTCTTATTTGGCAAGTTATACAGTTCTAACCAATTACATTTAATTATTCTTAGCGTCACGTAGACGTCACAATGTCACGTGATTCTTCTTATAAGACTATGGATTTGGGATAGACGGGATTCATACTTGGCTTGAAAGGGCATTTGTTCATGTCTTTGGCGCTTGGCCTCTGGCCGACGCCTGAAAAAAACTCAGTAATATATGTCATGTATCCGTCATCTTCCAGAGTGAATTACAACATTTACCCCTATCCTCCGCGAGTCTATATTCTGCTACACAGAACCACATTAGGAATCGCTGCACTTCTTGCTGCTACAATTAGAACACCACTACGGCAGGAGTCGCTGCACTTCTTGCTGCTACAATTAGAACACCACTACGGCAGGAGTGGCTACACTCCTTGTTGCTAAAATTAGAACACCACTACGGCAGGGGTCGCTGCACTCCTTGTTGCTACAATTAGAACACCACTACGGCAGGAGTCGCTGCACTCCTTGCTGCTACAATTAGAACACCACTACGACAGGAGTCGCTGCACTCCTTGCTGCTACAATTAGAACACCACTATGGCAGGGGTGGCTACTCTCCTTGCTGCTACAATTGGAACACCCCTACGGCAGGAGTGGCTACACTCCTTGCTGCTACAATTAGAACACCACTACGGCAGGAGTGGCTACACTCCTTGCTGCTACAATTAGAACACCCCTACGACAGGAGTCGCTACACTCTTTTCTGCTAGAATTAGAACAGCCCTACGGCAAGGGTCGTTACACTCCTCGTTGCTACAATGAGAACAGCACTACATCGAAGAATGATAATTTTTTACATTTTACGATACGAAATGGGGAACCTTTCACACAAAAATGTTCCATGTTGCTCTTAACTGCATTGTAATCGCAAAAGAAACGTCATTCCCGAATTATTCTACGTCAATTGATTATCGATCTTTCTAACAGATATAAATGCTGATCGAAGACTGTTTTATTATCCGTTCTATTCAGAAAAACCTAAATATAACTCAGAAATAAACTTCAATATTGATTTGACGATAAACATGCTTTAATCGTCAGATGTCCCTATTCCCCTGACTTACAATTACGCAAGGCATGCTTTCATAAAACTAATGTGCACAGTACTGGATAGGGTTATGGTGACATAAACGTCAATATTCCCATAACACTACTGCTGCTAAAATACTAACACTTGTTTGAAGGTAACCTTAATATAAACATAGGCAATATCAACGTATATATATTTAGCTGTAGGTTTGCCATTGCCTATTGACATGTTGCCATACCCTGACAGAATATGTTATAGACAACCCTTGTGTTAGCGTACATATACTAGTACATAAACGGCAATTTGAAGCGAGTAACTGACCCCGTGCAAACCTAATCAAGTAGAACTATTTTTGCAACTTTCCGCCAATAATAACTGTAATCTTGACATTATTTGAAAAGTGACCTCCAGAGGACACCGTTGATAAATTCAAACCAATCCGAGGAGTGACAGCCTGTACTGTTAATACCGTTAACGTTAACGGAAGTGTAATAACGTTAACGGAAGTGTAATAATGTTAACGGGAGTGAAATGTATCATTGAACTCATGTTCGAATATGATGAGTCATTATTATTGTGTGTCTGGCTAGTGGAATTTCAGAAGTCGGAGTTTATATCAGAATCTTATATGTATAACGTTGTATGCTTGTCAAAAGAGTTGAATAACGTCGGTGGTGGTTTCGGTCACTGATCTACTAGCAACAACTATTAGACTGAACTATCGTGTTGTGTGTATTTATTGGAATGAACGAGAGAAATATCCCTAGTTTCGACAAGATAGAGAATTCGATGCCGAGTGACTAAGATGACAGCGAAAAAAACAAACAAAACAAGCAAATACAGCTGTTACAATATCAATCTTACGGTATTTTCGTCATCGTTCTTTATTTTTATTATTCTTACAGCTGTCTTACTCGTCAGCCTCTCCCAAGCTGTCAGACAGGACTCTCTTTAAGAAGTTCTTCCGGGTTTTCCCTCCAGAAAAAGTTCTGAATGCCGTGAAATACGACATGCTCAAATACTTTGGGTGGACTAAAGTCGGGACTCTGCATCAGACAGTTGACTTGTTCTCATTGGTAAGTATAAGCCCTCGTACTGCGACGTCATATTCTTACATTGTTGCCAACCAGCATGTCAATGTCTGATAACAAAAGTCGCTCACTGATCAACACAGGCTCGCGATCCGTTTAGATAACATTGCACATACGTTGTTTTATTAACATGAACATATAAATGAATTTTCACAAATTCCTTGGTTTCATGTAATCCACACGTATGTATATGTGCAAAGTTCATTGTATTCGTTTCAAAAATAAAATTACACCCATATTTGAAACGACCAAGGGTGTTAGGCAGGGTTGTGTCATTAGCCCAATGCTTTTTAATTTGTTTGTTAATGACTTAAATAATTCACTAGAAGATGAATCATTAGATCCAGTTACATTGAATAACTGTAAAATAAGTTCCCTACTCTATGCAGATGATCTAGTGTTAATATCTGAAACAAAAAAATGGTCTACAAAATGCACTAAATAGTTTAGAGGTTTATTGTCATAAATGGAAACTTCAGGTAAATCTGACAAAAACAAAAGTTGTTATTTTCAGACGAGGAACACTAAAAAAGACAGAAAAATTCTATTATAATGAACAAAATATTACCTGTGTAGATATGTACAACTACCTAGGTATAAACATAAAGTCAAGTGGCTGCTACACTGAAGCCAAACAAAAATTAGCAGATATAGCAGCCCGAGCAATGTATGCATTGAAACAGTTCCTACCACCAGAAACAAATTGTAGAACTTCATCC